GTATAATAGTTAACTTTACAGATATAGGAAAAACTCTGAGAACTAAAACTTCTCAGATAGATGTCATAGTCTCTGACTGCATATATCTATAATTGAAGAATAATAATAATAATAATAATACATTGTTAGCTATGATTATATTATATCTGAGATATTACACTAAGTGAAATTCATCTTCAACAATGAAAAGAGAATCATTATTCATCTTCAAGATAAGATCTGTTATTATAAATAGATTTGATTTATCTGCTTCTGAGTCAACTTCTTGAATGCTTACATATTGATTATGTGACATAGAGATTGATTAACAAGAAGAGAAGAATAGACTTGCTATTATTACATTAATAAGTGATATACCTATGTCTGTATTCACACAGACAGAGAGATTACCTTGTGATATAATAACAGAAATAATGAGAAAGATGTAAGACAAATACTATAGTCTGCTAATATATTCTCAATCACTTATAGAGATATCACACACTGTAACTGTATATATATTGATATTAAAGATATTCAGATAATTATCTGAGAGAATGTCTGTAGATAAGATAAGTCTCTCAGTATCTATCTTACTGATTATTTTTCTAAATTATTATTGAAATCTAGACTGAGATCTAGATTCAGCAGCTTGTTGTCATCTTTCTCAGTACTCTTCAGTTTAACTTGATTTACTGAATGATCACTGTTCTTCTCTTTTTTAAGACAGTAGTTAATATAATGAGAGTCTTCACAGATATAGCACTCTGCTGTAGATGCTGATAATCTTTCTTCTTCTATTATATACTGAATCAGCAACTTACTCATTGTGAGAGTACTCAGAGAAATTGCTGTCATCTTCACAGCAGACACAGATGACTTTGTAGCCTCTGTCTGCTTGAAGAGAGAGATGAGATACAGATGACAGTTATTATTCTGTTTGAAATGTCTGGAACTACATATGTAGTTGATGAATTGAGTCTTTCAATCAGTTCAGATGTATCAGACAGCTGACTCATTATCTCTAATTTATCATCAGAAGTTATTCAATCATTCAGCAGAAATGAGTGATGTGATTAAGAAAAGATTGAACTCTAAACCCTCTCACAGAAGCCTTTTTATTATAATAAGATCAGAGATTGCAGCAGCTTACAGTAAGTTAATCTTTTATAAAATGTATAATATCAGAGATAGTTCATCTGACTTCTTAAAGAAAAAATACAGAGTCTGAGCTTTCATTCAAGCTTCTTCTTCTGATAGCTGAAACTCACATTTTAACTTATCAATAGTGATAGAGAGAGAGACACTCATATTCTTTCTCATTTCAGTAGACAGACTGTTATGTCATTTCAACATCTGACTCTTCAGAAACAGAAAGAATATATGAAGAACTGCATTGTCTCTCTTCTATATAATAATGAATTTCAAATGACTGATAAACATCATTACATCTGTTTCTGCTGAGTCAAATAGCATGATTTTATCAGCCTGTAATCTCACTGATTTATTGTCACTTCATGCAGATAAACAGAGTTCACTATCAAGTAGAAGATCAAGATTGTTATAAGCAGACACTTGATTTCTGCACATTCAGTTTTTCTCTGAGTTATAAGTAAAATGTGCAGTGTCAGCTTCTCTGAGAAGATTAATTCTGTCTCTTATTAGATTATAATAGCACATTCTGCCTTCAGCACTGTGTAATCTCTGTGAAATTATCAGTGTTCATCAGATTCTAGAAGATAATTTGAAGTCTTTCTTAAAGAAGATATCTAATTACTGTACATTATTATTATTATTCTTCAATTATAGATGTATACAGTCAGAGACTATAACATCTACCTGAGAATCTTTAGTTCTCAGAGTTTTTCCTATATCTATAGAGTCAACTATTATACATTTATCAATTTCAGATATGCAAAATCAGAAAATTTCAGCTCAGAATATAAAAACTATTTACAAATTGCAGTATTTCAACACCTTCTGATACTTTGAAATCATTTGAAAATATCATGACAAAGGAAAAGAGAACATAGTCTTAAAGATAGACATATTAAATAGATAGAGAAAAGAACAGAAAGAAATAAGTACAGTAAAGAGAGACTATAATAAAATAAAATTATTAAAAGATAGTGTATAGCTGTTTTAACAGACTATATCTAATTAATTTCTGCCTCTTCATATTCAGATACTTCTGAATTCAGCTATTTTCTTATAGCTGCTTGAGTTTCTGATAGAAAGTCTATTAAGTATTTAATTTCTGTCTCAGTTGAGAATAAAAACCTCATATTTAATTGATTTAAATCATACTTCTTCTTTAATCTGACTCTGAGACTATTGTATAATACACAATGCATTATAATATACTCAGGATTTTCATTTGCATTGCAGAATAAGCACTCTGTTGAATCAAATCTATCATCAAATCTTTGTATATAGAATTTAAAATAATCATGTTCTAGTTTTAGCTGAATTATAGATGAGAATATTTTCTTTTTACATTTAATTGAACAAGATTTTCATATTGATTTTATCTCAAATCTTGAATAATGTATACTCTTCTTTTATTTCTGTCAGCTTTCATTTCACTTGTTTAAACAAGATTCTTTTATCTTTCTCTTTATGAAAGATCAGAACACTGTTTTTTAAATAGATCTGCTTAATTCTGAACTCTTTTTTACAGCTGAATCAGTCAATTCATTATCATGAATATTCATATAAGCAGAAACTCAATGCAGATGAATTATCAGTTTTAATATTCTTCTCTTTTGAATTTTTAAAACAGAGTTTAAAATCAGTTCAAGATTCATTTGATCATTATGAATCTGACTATTTCTAAGTCTTTTTAAAGCAGCTTGACTATCAAAGAATATTCATATCTCTTTCAAACTATTTTCACTTTTATGAGATTTTATTTCAATGAGTTTGAAAGCTTTCACTATTACAAATAGTTCAGCATCAAACACTTCAGATTCACAGCCTAAATTTCAGAAATCTGAGATAAAATTAATATTATCTTTAGTATAAGCAATGCCTGTGTCTAATCTATTCAAATTCTCATTTTTTGAGTCATCTGAGTAAATCAGAATAGAGTCTTTTATATTGATTGTAGAGATCTTCTTCAAATGCTGTTTATATTCTCTCTCTTTAGATAGTTCACTTATTTGTAAGTCTATGAGAGATTTCAGCTTTTCTCTTCGGAGAAATATCTTCTCATGATCAATTTTCTCAATATTTAATAAAGAAAATTAATTCTTAATAAGTGAACATAGTCTATACAGTTGAGAGAGCATTTTCTTTAAAGCATTATTCTCATTTTAATCAAGAATCTAATCTCATACATTTCTTAGCATGAATTCTGCTGAGACTAGTCATTAAAAAAACATGTAAAGTGACTATATATCAGATCTTAAAATGAAATCATGACTTGAAAAAAATGAGAAAGTAATCTCATTTAATCTCATTTAGTCTCATTCTTAGTATAAAGTTACTATTTTTAGACATTTTAAGGTTTTTTTAGACTATTTTTAATTTTTTAAAAAGTAACACTTTTTGATAATACTTAAATAAGATTTAAAGTCATTTAAAGCAATAAAAATAATTTAAATTAAGAAGTGAAAATCATGATCTCATTTAAAAAAGATAATAAGAGTAGACAGTAAGTCTCACTGAAATAGTATGAGACTACTATCTAATGTTAAAATCATGTAATCAAATCAGTTAAATTAATGATGAGACTATTAAAAAATCTGATTCTGATCTCAGACACAGTTATACAGTCAGTGTAATTACAGTATATTAGAGAAGTATAGTTTTTATAAAAAAAGTAAAGAATAAACTTATATAAGAATATACTTAGTTATTTTATAAGTTTTATTAATAATTATTATCAAATTCTGATTATATAAGTAATCACTGAATAAACTGAATAAAATTTAATTTAATTTTCAGTTTCAGTTCTATTCTGATTTTAAAAGAATAATTATGTTTTACTATTTATTCTAAGAAATTACTCTTATTTTACTGTTCTTGAATTAAATCTAATTATTTTTCATGCTATTTCTGAAAGAAATGATTCATTTTCAGATTTTTTTAATACTTGATTCTGATGAGACTTATATTAAGAAATGTATAAGATTAAATTAAATGAAATTAAATGTGAAATTCATAGTTTTAGTAATCAGTCTATATCTGTTATTCTGATGTTTTCTCATTTCTCTGTCTTGAAAACATATATTCTTTTATTAAGTCAGACATTGTCTCAGATCTGAGATCAATTATGAATTTAGATAATCAGTAAATTATCTAGACATGTTTGTAATAATGTATAAAGATATTAATTTAACATGTTATTACAGTTCTTAAAGCTTATAAAGAGCTTTATAACTAGACTGACTGTGTGACTATATCTGAAACTAGAGTCAGAATTTTTAATAGTTTTATTATTAATTTAACAGATCTTATTACACAGTTCTAACATTAGATAGTAGTCTTATACTATCTCAGTGAGACTTACTATCTACTCTTATTATATTTTTTAAATAAGATTATGATTTTTACTTCTTAATTTAAATTATTTTTATTACTTTCAATAACTTTAAATCTTATTTAAGTATTATCAAAAAGTGTTACTTTTTAAAAAATTAAAAATAGTTAAAAAAAAACCTTAAAATGTCTAAAAATAGTAACTTTATACTAAGAATGAGACTAAATGAGATTAAATGAAATCACTTTCTCATTTTTTTCAAGTCATGATTTCATTTTGAGATCTGATATATAGTCACTTTATATGTTTATTTAATGATTAGTCTCAGTGGGATTCACATCAAGAAATGTATGAGACCAGACCAAATGGGACCAAATGTGAAATTCATGGTCTCAGCGGCCAGTCTATTCATAACCTCTTGAAGAATAACATTGTTATGTGTGTAATCTATATACGCGTACACTTAATAGGGTTGGGGTGGCACGTGACTAGGGTAGGTGTAGTAATTGTAGGCTACTGGGGCAAAAGAGCTCAGTCACCAGCGCTGCTGGTAGAAGGGCCGATCAACCCCTGAGACCCCCAACACCCCCTCTCAGACCAGCTAACCACAGAGTACAGTACTCCTCTCAGTGGCTCCTCTCAGTGGCTCCTCTTAGTGGCTCCTCTCAGTGAACTCACTCCTAGGGCTCAAGGGCTCACTTCTAGGGCACACTCCTAGAAAGTCTCTTGACACTGTTAAATGTCCGGGGTATTTGTTTTGGGATTTATATTCTTAAGTTCATTCTGAGATTGAACCCATGCATGTTGACCACAGCGGGGCTCACGCTTAACGGTCTCATAACCTGTAGAATACTGGGGCAAAAGAGCTCAGTCACCACCAGCGCTGCTGGTAGAAGGGCCGATCAACCCCTGGGACCCCCAACAGTAATCACCAACATTATGTGGCAGCATGTGAGGCCCTGCTGGGCCTCACTTAAGATGCTTAATTAGACTAGATCTAGACCAGTTGCATAGCGCCCGTACGGGATGCAGACACCAACTTAAAGATGTAATCAATCAATCAATCAATCAATCCCAAACAATACCTTCAACAACCGCTAAAGAAATTAATGTCGGGCATGCGGGACCGACCCCGTCTCATACGCAAATCGTGCCCCATATATAAGAATAAAGTTGAGTGCCGAATAAGCTCCCGGTAGGCTATTGTACATGTACATGTACATGTACAATGTAAGCTTACATATTTCACAGTGAACTATTCCCCTCCGATCAGTCGATCATCGATTTCAGACAGTCCTTACTATTGCCCAAGCAAAAGAGCCAATGGCACAAAGAGGTACACGAAAATAGTATATTAATAAATCAATAAAACAAATCATCATTTCCCTTTTTGACCATCCCAGTACACCACGCAGCTTGCCTGTAGGAAGAACAAGAGACTCAGGGTCAAAAGGCAGAGGCAAAAGCCGCTTCTAAAGATATCTGTCAAAAAAAGGGAAAAAAAAGGTAGGAAGGAGACAGGTAAGAATAAATCGGTCTACCCTCTTTATGTTACGTCTCAAGAACATGCGATCGAATAAATACGTCAGACCTCCTTTTCCCCCTCTCTTTCTCTTTCCCTTCACATTTCTACAGGACATGCTGTGGCTGGAATATCGATGCTTCAACCCACTTCTTCTGTGCTTGACTGATATATGCCGACTTGGCATCCTGACTGCTGTGCCAGTCATCCAGGAGGTGAAGGCCTGCGAGGGCAACCTCAAGAGACGTGGTTTCAAGGTCGACGGTAGAGAGAAGCTCCTGCTCTCCCTGGGATTTTGAGTCAGGGTTTAGGAGCTGGCGGACAGAGAGAGCAGCTTGAACATGCGCAGCACTAGATTTGTGCGCGGAAAGGAATGACTCATTCCAACTTGTTAGGTCTTGGGTTTTTGGGAGAAGCGGGTCAAAATCTGCGGTGATAACCTCGGACACACGGGAGGGCAGAGGTTCCGAGAGTGTGTCAATCGTTTTTCGGAAGCGTGCCAATTGGATGTGCAGAGTGGGGTTTTGGGGATCGATGGAGTGGGCGGCAAGCAGACATTTTAGAGACAGAAGAAATTTATCTGTAGCGTTGAGTTAGCAAAGGTACGGAAATAATAGGGGTTTACTAGAAACTTACTTCTTCTGATGTAGACTTCAAAGCCAGCTGTCTGCACTTCTATATTTCTGGGTGAAAATTCCAACAAGGGGGTCAAGAATTTCATGGAGTCCTTTAATGGCTCGGTGGTCCGAACAAGTTTTGTCCCCAATGGGTCAGGGTCCTCCTTTTTCGTTTCCCTGTCACCTCCTTTAGTGCTGCTAGCCTTCTTGAGATCCCGTTTCTCCGCTTCCGCCTTCTCCATCCTCAGCTGCTCACGCTTGGCTTTCTTGAGGGCTTTCTTCCGCTCCGCGCTGTCGACCTCTCCAGTCTGATTTCCATTCATTCCGCGAGGGATTGGACCATGGACTAAATCCGGTTGATCATGTAGCAATAGGTAAGCCTTGACAGCCGCGAGCGCGCTTCGAGTGTAATATGGGTGGTCTCGCAGGTGGTCCTCCCATCGGATCATATCGACGTATGCGCGGATCATTCCTTTCCTTAGGGAGAAACTGTGGAAATCGAATTGGTCTTCATACCATACATCGAAAATGTTGTGGACAGCGTGGAATCTTTTCAACGCCAGTCCAAGCTTTCTTTGACGCAGGTAGGACTCTCCATCTTCGGTCAGGTACCAAACGCATTGCATCTCGTGAAGGTCACCCAGAGTTCCACCCACTGTCTCGTTTCGCGTAAATTTACTCATGTTGTCAAGGGCCTTTTCGTTTTCATCGTTCCGGAGTTGATATTTGGCCGCTTTGGAGTTAATATAACGGTCCTTTTCATCTAATGATCGAGCTATCTCCATAAATTCGACGGCTTTTGGGATATTGCCAAAGTGTTTCCATATTCTGGCTTTCGTCATGTGATAGTCAACGGATTTTGGAGATAATGTGATTGCTTTCTCGATATACTCCACGGCTTTCTCCAGGTTGCGGCTAAGATGATAATTGTAATGCTGTGCAAGGAAATAGTAAACCGAACTTTCGAACACAGAGGCGTCACCTTTTGTTTGGTTCTCTGCTGACCCATTCATTTGCGACCCAAGTTGGCCGCTTGCATATCCCTCAACAAGTTCCTGGATGATGTCCCGCTTCGCGCTGTTTGTGTATAAGAACTTGATATTCGCAAAAGTAGATGGAATACCTCTCCGAAGCATTCGTTGAAGATAATTGTCTGCTGCGTCTCGGAAATCCTGGCCTTCTAGAAAGTCTAGAGGAATTCTGCGAGCCGCATCTCCCCTTGGATTTTTCTCGGCCCATTCATCGAATATGGCCTTTAGCGTTTTATGGTCGGACTTATCGATATCTTTCGCTTTGATCAAAGCTTCGTAGTAATTTGAGTTTTCCGAGTTTCTCTCCAACAGAGCCTCGTAAGCAGCCGCTGCCTCTTCTTTCCTGCCAAGACGTAATAGATAATCTGCACGCATTTCCATCACGGCAAGTACATCGAAACAGCCTTTGCCCACTTCGTCGAGATGTTCTAGTGCCCTTTCCAGATTCCCCGACTCAGCAATTATAGAATTCTTGTAGAGAACGGCTTCTGAATGATCCATATCAGTTCTCGGGGGCGGCGTTTTCAGTGTTTGCTCGTAAGTCGTAAGAACGTTTTCAGCTTCCGTCAAATTTCCCGCGAGATGATGAGCAATGGCAAGGGCGGTCCAGTTTTGGCGGAAGCCTGGCTTTTGTTGCAGCATAGTCGTCCTACTTTGAACATAGCCTTGATAATCGCGCATTTGGGCTTGGAGGAGAGCTAGATCTCGCTGTATCGCTTGGGACTCCGGGTCAAACTTTAGAGCGGTTTTGTAGGCTTTGATGGCTTCGTCATAATTCTTATCCGCGCGATATAACAACCCGTAGACATGCCAACAGATGTGGGATTTAAAATGATTTGTAATCGCCAGCCTTGCCAGGGCAAACGCTTCCTCCTGTTGCCCTTGATTGCTGAGTATCAGGGCTTTCATCGCCTGGGTTTCTCCATGCTTCGGGTTCCTTCGGAGGACCTGATCCGCAGCCTTTATGCCTGTTCGAACCGAGTTAGAGAGTCGCACCTGGAAAAAGCTAGCCTAATAAAACGGTAGGAACGCACCTTTTTTGTACTGTTTACTTTCACAAAGACGGACGACTTGGCGGAACAGCGACTGGTCCTTCGTGCTCAATGGCGGGGGATCCATTACGGCTGGTTTTGGCTGGACGGATTTTACCCGTCCAGTGATAGGAGCGGAATTGATGACGGCGGGGAGAAGTTCGTCAGGGGAGAGCAGAGGCTATAAAAGACGGGAAATTGTTTCAATTGGTCGCAATAGTGACTGTTGGAAAGGTCGAATTATGAATGTCGAAGACTTGAAAGTCTATGCTGCCGGTCAGGCTTAAAAACGTTTATCCGGGGATCGAAGGTCGGTCATGTGACAAGGAGCCCTGTCGTGGAAGCAATTTTGTTTGCAGCTTCACAAAGCAGTTTTGTTCTTGTTTGGAGGTGCTCTATATGTAAATATCAATTAATCGATTTCGGCGGTCCGAAGACTATATTTATTGTCTCATCGGACAAATTGGTTCCGTGGCGGAATAGAGATCACGAGATAAAAAGCCAACGGAGTGAACCCAAGGGACTGACTGATCCTTCGAAACCTCAGTTCATCCTATCCCATGTATAACAGCCCACTCTTTCAGCGCGTTGGGTACTATTTTACGCCTCTACCTCTGAGCCTAGTGATGGATGAACTAGACTCCTCAATCAGGTAACCAGTCTCAATATTCCCAAATCGTGCAGAGTAATGATTGCATTAGGTCTCTCATGAAAGATCAAGGATAGTCACTCAATGTTGAGGTCATACGCCTTAATGAATTTGGTAAGTTCGAACTCGATTGAAGGACATAAGTCATAGGTTCCGTATAGCATTTGTGAAGAATGTTGAGTTACATGGCTAATTCTTAGAATAGTTATCAAAATACCGAACTAGTGGAAAACATTGCCTATTAGTTCATAGACGTGCATCATGGTTGTAGAATACTTGACAGTCCGGAACCTTACATCAACCCCGCTTTTATTGAAGCACGTTGAGCGGTTCCTGGCCCCGGACGTCCCAAAGCGCGATATCAAGAAGGTGGCCGAAGCACTACTGAAGAACAATGTGACCAGATCTACATCAGTCGTGGACACTTCGACGCAGAATCCCAAAATTCTTGCTAATCATGATGTGTCAATTCGGATTGAACCATTTACCTCGGTGGTTACGGATATCCGGGCTTTTGACAAGTCAGATAGAGAACGTATGCGTCTGATATTTGAAGTAGAAGGCGAGAGACACCAAATTGAAACCCCTGTATCTACCAAGGAGTCCGCCACATCTAAACCGCTGGCTGCTAATCCCCGTTTCCAATTTACCGGAATCTATATTATCCCGGAATCCCACCTTGCTGTATACTCCTCTGCCAACCTCAATGCTTGGATGCGCGAGCTCAATGACGGAACCTATCTTTCTGCCCTTTCCATTCCCGGTACGCACAACTCCCCAACATGCCATCTAGCTCCTCCCTCAGTTCGCTGTCAGGCTGTTGGGCCCCGAGAACAACTGGAAAACGGCGTTCGATTTTTCGATGTCCGGGTGCAGCCCCAATTTCCCGACGATCCAAGCAAGGACAATCTGGTGCTTGTCCACGGGGCATTCCCGATCTCATTTACGGGGCAAAAATACTTCCGCGATCTCGTTAACGAGGTTGAATCATTCCTTGAGCGCAATCCTTCTGAAACTCTCATTATGTCCGTGAAGCGGGAAGGGCCAGGGAACTCTACCGATGCGCAACTTAGCCGCATTCTCCGGGACCACTATGCGCGAGATGGGAGCCGGTGGTACACCGAACCCAAAGTCCCTACCCTTGGCAAATCTAGGGGTAAGATCGTGTTGATCCGGCGGTTTGCTTTAGAAGATCGGTTGAAGAAAGAATGGAGAGGACGGGGCTGGGGTATCGATGCGGAAGGCTGGGCTGATAATACCCCATTTGCGACATGCCCAAGCGGAGACATTTGCATCCAGGACTTCTACGAGGTACTCGAGAAAGAAAAGATCCAGCAGAAAATAGAGTATATCAATGCTCATTTTGGGAGGGCGGCGGAGCTGTGTTATCCGTGTGGCGTCATTAAGAAGGAAGGAGAAGATAATAGCGACCGTGGTGATCTCAAGCTTCCCTTTTATATAAATTTCCTTAGCGCGAGCAACTTTTGGAAAGTAACGACTTGGCCGGAAAAGATTGCGGCCAAAGTGAATCCAGCTGCAGTGGATTATTTGTGCCGCAAGCATCAAGGGGAGAAGGGGGATTGGTCTACGGGGATTCTGGTGTGCGATTGGGTTGGATTAGGCGGTGACTGGGATCTAGTGAGATGTGTCGTTGGAATGAACGCAAGGCTCATGATGAGACAGAAATAAATTCGGCCAAACAACCACTTGGAGGGTTGTTGCTCCATATTTGGCAAAATAACCAATTATAGGAACAGTGCCAGCATACTGACCGAGGTTTTGAACCGGTTTGGATAAAATATATGATACATAATGTACAGTAGATATAGAGGAAAAAGGTCAGCATGTATCAGAAGAACCAAACCAAAATAAAAACCAGAAACGACCACAAGCTATATCTAGAAGTAGAACAATGAAAAAAAATGGAACAACAAACAAAAGTATATAGTCATCGTCTATTCCTTTAAAGCATCCGTTTGCCCCTCACTCTCGCTCTTAACGTCACTCTCAGGTCCCTTCTGCTCCTCTTCCAAGACGCTCCTCCGGCTCTCAAGAGTAAGATACAGACTCTTACCGGCCGCATCCAACGTCGTAGTAATGCTTGCTCCTGCGCCTTGCAAGAGCGACACAAGTTGAGATCTCAACCCAGTCATGCCACCCTCAATTCCACCAACCCATCTCGTCTGGTCTTGGTCGAACACCTTGCCCTCCACCCTCGCCGCCAACAAAATCAATTTCTTCAATCCCTCCTGGACAGGCAGGTCGTATAGACCGGGATTCAACCTTCGTCCTGGTGCGGGGAACTGTGGCGGCTTGGGTGCCAAAATCGATAGGGCAGCCTTCAAATGCTCCGGGGAAACATGTGGGAAAGTGAGCACAGCAATTGGGCCGATTAGGACATTTGAAAGATCATGTTTGCCCTTTTTGTCCAGTACTGCGGCATAGGCCGTGCGAGAGAGATCATGTGTTAAGTTGGAGTCAGCTTTAGCGGCTGCAATCTTGCCAGGGCCGCGGGGGGTTGTTTCGCCGGGCCGGAAGAAATCCACGACACGCAGAGCAGCCTCGAAAATGCTAGTTTGGATGATTTTAAGTTGAACTAGGGAAGCCAGCGGAGGCTCTGTTCTGCCGGCAGCAGCATTTGCCTCGTCAACTTTTTGTAGAGCTTTTGTAAGCTCGCGACGTATGCCGGCCCATTCTACGGATAGAAGGTTGTTATGCTGGAAAATCAGGATCAGCGGCGTTGTGCGGAGGATGGAAGTGTATTGGCGGTGGAGCTGGGATTTGCGGAACTCAGGGCGGCGGTGCGATGGGGGTTGGTTTGATGGGTATGCTGCAGCAGGGGAAGGAGGTGGCTGTAAAGATGTGGATTTCGATTGGGATGTTTGGCTTATTGTGGATGTCACAACTGCTGCTGCCGCTGTGGCGGCATATCGTCGCGAATATATGAGGACTTCATGCCGAAGGGGGTGTGAGAGGAGGGAAACGGAGAGGCGCAATCGAGGAGGCATTGGAGCGGGAAATCAGCAATTAGAATATTAGAATATTCGGAATAAATGTAGAACACGGCAGATTGTCACTCCTGGCTCAATTGCCATGCGTTTCGAATTCGGAGCCTGATAGATATACGCCGGTACTCTGCTACTGTTCATGGAGAATATTTTTAACCTACAAAAGTTTGGTGGTCGTCAAAGGCGGTGAAGATTCTGTCGCACATTAAATTACTCAATGACTCCTTTGTCCGACCATTGGTGGGGCAAGATTACGAGGACGCAACAATCGCATCTTTAATTGCTGCTTTCATATCTTTCATTTTACCTAAGAGTGTGCCTAGTTATCAATTTGCCATTTGGGTTCTGGCCGAAAGAATTATTCTGCGTATAACTGGGAACTTCGACGGGAACGAAGCTATGGCGTCGGACAAACCTGACCTGGCGATTTCTATAACACCGCTTCTTACGAGACTCGCTTATCCGGATGCAGCCAAGCATGAGGTTTCTGCAGTAGAGATAGCTGGTGCTTTTGCTCTTATATTTGAGGATAAACTATCTCTCATTCAGACCGCTGCACTTCTCACCCTCCTACATTCAACTGGCAAGGACAGGGATGCCGATGTGTTAGCACAATGCGCAGCTCGGATGAGGGAAGCTGCACTGCCAATTGAGCCGACAGCACTACGGGCATTAGTTAAAGAGCGGGCTAGAAAAGAAGGGTCTTACGAAGGTGGCTTTGTAAGTAAAAGGAATCGATGATTTTATTCTCCGGGAAGAAGTTGTGAAGCAAGCTAATAACATATTTGGCGGAAGTGTGACATTGTTGGGACAGGAGGAGATTCGCATCGAACATTCAACATCTCTACGACTTCCTCCATTATAGCGTCGCCATTGCTCTTGATTGCCAAGCATGGAAATCGGGCCCAAACATCATTTTCAGGCTCTGCGGACGTCTTGACCTCGATCACTCCAACCCCACCAAACATATCTGCGGTTCTGCCTGAGAACATCTGCAAGGTGTACGAGCAGTCGAACTATTGCTTTCTCTTTGCTCCAAATTTCCACACTGGCATGAAGTTTGCAACTCCGGTTCGGAGAGGGTTGGGTATACGAACAATATTCAACCTCCTCGGACCCCTCGCAAACCCCATTGATTGGGGTATTGAGGCTCGTTTGGTTGGCGTAGCATACCAATCCTTGGGGCCAATATTCGCAAACGTCCTGAAGCTCAGCGGAGTCAAGAAGGCGCTGGTAGTATGCGGTGAAGAAGACTTGGATGAAATCAGCTGTGCTGGGAAAACAAACTGCTGGAAACTATCTGAATACCCTAACCCCGAATACGAAGGCAATCCAGACGGTAATGCTGAAGGCGAGGAGACTTGGGATGAGGACGCGCCGCCTAAAACGGTGGTGAAAATCGAAACCTTCCAGCTTCAACCATCGGATTTTGGGTTCTCTCCGCGCCCGCTTTCAGAAGTTGGTGGGGGCAAGAGGCCTGGCGAAAACGCGTTGATACTGATGAGTATGCTCCGTAACGAGCTTCCTCGCGACCACCCCATTTTGGAATTCGTTCTCATGAACGTTGCAGCTCTGTTGGTCATATCTGGCATATGTGACGCTGATACCAGCAATATGGGTCCTGGTGATAACGGGGAAGTTATTAAAGAGGTAGGTCCGGGCGGTGGCCGCTGGAAGGAAGGTATTCGACGGGCGCGCTGGGCGATCGAAAGTGGAGAGGCAGTGAAGAGCTTGGAGAAATTCATCAAGGTATCAAACTCATTGTAGCTGGAATAAGGGGAATTTTGGAAAGATGCTTTGGTAATCTATCTTCTCGGGTCTTGGATGGACCATATTGTCTTATTGAGGTCTTTTTTTTCTCTTTTTTCTTCCCTTTTTCTTTTTTTTTTTTTTTTGTTTTCTTTTTCTTTTTCTTTTCTTTTCTTTTTTTCGGGGGACTCTAGACATGAACCCATCAGGAATACCAGAACGTTGCATTCGAATATTATTTGAACTTCCGAGGAAGCAAGAAAGTTTTATCACGCTCACTTTCCGAGCTCGTCCGTCCCCCATCTCACGACAACCTTCTTTTTTTTCGGGCATTTCATAAAAATGAAAAATCAAGCATCCCACTCCTTTAGCGCCTGCAGAAAGCTGTTGCAAACTAACAACAGCGAAAGAAAAGCAAACAAATAGCATGTATCCTCCGGTCATAATCCGATTTCGTAATCGCCCAGGGCGTCCAAGAAACGCCGATAAGGGTAGCAGGTAGGCGGTCAGGTATCATCGAGCCTGAAACTGCACCATTCTGTAGATACGCGACGAAAATCCCAGTTAGATCCCAACGGGTCCCAAAACATTTGTAGCCTGGAGAGCAGACGGGATGCAGACGGCAACGAACCTCTTCGTCCTTTCCTTATACAGCACACGATGCCCGCATTCCTTGCAGCGGATCTGATCTCCACGCTTCATAGAAACGCGCGAGTTGCAATCACCGCAAACGTAGGTGACCGATATGGCGTCGCTAGTGGTTCCTTCCACGACGCCCCCTGCGCCAGTGTAACCAGTCTGGCCCGTAGGGACTTGGTAGGCTTCGCGAGACATGGTTGTATATGGAGGTGAGCGGTATGCGCGTGAGTGGTAAGGAGCAGACTGCGAGCTTGGAGCGTAGGACGTTGAGCTGGATGGAGCAGTTTCTTGTAAAAGTCAACCTCTGAAGCGACAGGATGAAAGATCCATGGATAGCAAGGTCAGTCACATGATATCAAATCACTAGTCATGTGATTTAGCACCATCCATCCCGGTCCAGGATCACAGTTGATCACAGTTGAATTTTTTCATATCCAGTGTCTCTAAACTCCTCTCCCTTTTCACGAGCCGGTGGACTGTTTGAAAAACATGTTAGGCACTGAATTTAGGCCTAGTTACTCGAGGGCTCCACCCTCGCTCGCCTTCGCTTCCTTCTACAACATATGTACTAGCTGTCCTGAGCATTTTATACACTGATTGTAGATAGGTTGCTTGAAGGGCAGAGCACAGCTTACCGAACTATGACCTGCTGGCTCTATAGCCTCAATTCTGAATTTGGAATGCCTGACCTGCTGCGTTGACATTCCTCCCTTCTTCGAAGCTATTACGCTGGGCCAAAGGGCTTGCCGTGGAGAGATAGAGATTTCCTCCTGCTCTCCTTCCTTGACAATTTGCGGCCATCATTGTTGTTATTTTTGATGTTTTTATTGTTGCTTCTTGATGTATTGATTTATTGATTTATTGATTTATTGATTTATTGATTTATTTGTTCTCCGACTCTCCACAGAGTTGCTCACTTTCAGCTTCATATTATACATACACAGTTTGATATTCCAATCAGCAACACAGAGACCAAATCTTTATCCCAGTATTTTTTCCAGTTATTCTTCTGTGTCTTTCAGTCCATTCTAGATTCCCTCTCTTGTTTCGTCTTCTTCTGTTCTCAAATCTACTTGTCGGTTAGAATCAAGGATCCCAACTCGGTTCTAGTTAATTAGTGCGTGTGTCCTCCTAGAAGTCCAAATCCAAGACACTCTCTTGTCATTCGACTTGGAAGCGCATTCTTCACAATGGCTCCTCAATTGTCTGTTGCTCGTGACTCCACGGATGGTGACACCTCTGTTACCCAAAACCAGGAATGTCTGCACCATCGCACTGAAAGCCAAAGCAGGCGTAGGTCAGCCCGTCATTATCGTCCCCCCCAGCGGTATTATAGTCATCATACCTTTCAAACGCCGACACGGCACTATGAATTGAGGTCCAAATGTCGTATTTCTGCAAGACAACCACTTAGTCGAGATCAGATTAGCAAAAGACCAGAACTGCGACATTCCAACAATTCCGCCAGTAGTGGTGATCAAAACGCAACATGTCTCTCCAGCAAACCATGTACTTCCGAGGGAAGACTTCTTGAGCATCCCATCGATATCCCTCAGATGGTTACTCCAAGCGCCAGGGAGAATACGTTTACCGAAGCTATGAATGGCGCCTTCAACCTTACAAAGTCCCCGCTTTGGTTGGGGAGAAAGTTGGCTGCTGCCACGCTTCCTGAGAAGGAGTCCTGGTTGCTTCAGAACCCGTGCAACCCATTTGGCTCCGACACGAACAGCCACACGGGTTCGACCTCTTCCATGACTGATCAATCCCAGAAAGAAGGTATGCAGCCCCAAAATCCTGTAGCAAAATAGTGACAAAACATCCGTATACCTCGCCAATCACTAATCTACCTACTACAGCGCACAATTTATCCAGGCTTGTAAACAGTCAAAACCAACCTGATCGCATGACTGTCGGGTTTGGCCTAGCTCAGAGCCCGACTACAGTTGAGACGGATGAGTTTTCGCGGTTGCTACAATCGATCGAATTGCACTCGCGGCAGTCGAAAGGTCTGGCAGACATGGTATCGAGCTACCTTGAGGGAGACGGAAGCCATTCGGATATTAATTCAGCGGTCGGCGATGTCAATAAATTCTATACCAAGCCACCCCGCCGCCCGAATCAGAGTTCGGAATGTAACCTCCAAGTTGCGTCCCTCCCAGGCGGCGGTGACAGCCCCGACCCACCTCGCGATCACAGCACCCCATTCCGTGGACATATGATAGACCGTATCGATTCAGGCGGACCCGTGGTGGATGTAGAGGACAACAACTGTGGTCCGGCAACGACCACCGTAGCTCCTGAGAATATCTCCCAAGACGAAGGCCCTAGGATTGCCAGGGATCGTCAAGGTTCGTTCTTCATTTCATAATTTTCTGGATGAGCTGGCTACTGATACTATGGGAAGGGTTGGCTCGAAACCACACCACTGCCGAAAACAACCACACCCCGGCGAGCTGTAACGGTACTTGTACTTATTTCGCTATGCCACTCTATGGGCTTCCACAGGAGCGGTTCTTGAGCACATCCGATTTTGGAGGCTTTTATGATACGTTCCTTCCGAGCGAAAAAACTTCAGATGTCTCGTCGAAAAAAAGACCAGGGCAAAACATCGAAGATGCGTGCCAGTGCAAGCTAGAATCTTCCTTTGGCTGCTGCAGCCAAAAAGCAAAGGCATACGTTGACAAGCCTTACTCTTCGGAAGAGCTCCAGGTCTATTCTCACTGCCGGGAATGCCACCCAAAACGAGTTAAAGTTGATCATTTGGCAGCACAATCCGACTCGGTTTACCATATCTGTGTAGCCCACCAGCCGTTTAAGGCCCCTTTACTTTCGCCAGGCGGAGGAGGTTCACACCCCACCGAAGCTACACCAGGGTACCAGCAAAGTTATGAGTGCGGGCAGAAATCTGCTGTGGTACCCGCTACGGCTAGCCCACAGAGTTGTGCTTGTCCATCTCCATGTTCATGCCCACAGCCTTGTGCATGTGAGTATGTTGCAGATGGTAAAATGACCCTGAGAAATGCCGCCTCTTCTGCACAACCACCACTTGGGATATCAATCAAATCACTTTTGTCTAACCCACAAAATTGTGCTTGCCGACCTCATTGTTCATGCCCATCGCCTTGTCAGTGCGGACAAGATACCTATGCTAAAGTGGGAATGAGAGATACCCATCCTTCTGTACAGCTACCACTTAGGACATCAATTTGCGCTTTCCCCCTTTTTCAAGTTCAACCTCGGAACCCTGATTTTCCTACTGGTGAAGTAATTTCTTCCGAAATTCACCAATGTGGCGGCTGCGAAATGCAAGCCCAAGACTAGGCAGAGAATTTAGAGCATCTCTTGAGCTCTCCTAAAGTTTTATTTTGTCCGCTGTTTGCTCTTCGATTTTCTGTTTTCGGTTATCACAGTGGTTTCTCGGACTGGGGCTACATTTCAAGTGGTGTATTGTGTGATATTGATGTTGCGCAGCACGGAATTCCTCACCCAGGAGTTAAAACTTTTCACTCCCTTTCCTTTAGCATGATATGTTGGTTTGACTATTATTAGCCACCGCAACATTGTCGTGACTTTCACTCATAATATCCACATGTTGCAGTTTACAGTCGTTCAATCTGTCGCGTTAGAAGTACCAATTTGAATCTTCATTCGGTGCACCATAACTGCTAATCTCAATGCTGGATTTCTAGTTTTCGTCACAACTAGTTGCCAAGTAGTGTAGCGAAAGATTCTCTCAAGTTCTAGCTCCGCGTTCCCACCCCTCCTCTACGCCGGGTATTCCAAGTTTCATCTGCCTAATCGCATCGGATTCACGTTGGCAATCCAAACCGCCAATAATAAGGCAATAACCGGCTGCAGGGTAATCTACTCCCCCTTCTCTTTCAAGGTTCAGTAAATCATTCATCATGTGACGCTAACCAGATTAATTAGATATAATTAGGATCATGAAAGAAAATTTTTCAATATTATATATATTTATCCAACCGTTCCCGTCTATAAAGTAGTAAAGAAGAGTACAAATACATATGGAGGCCGGGCGTGGCTAAAATGTATGCAAGACATAGAAACCAAAAGGTAAAAACTCCACTATATAAAACGGAGAAGAGAGAAGAGAGGTTCGGCTGTTGGGTCACAGCACACTCGTTCTTTTATAATTTTTGTACGCAGGTATGTGTGTGTGTGTGTGCGTGTGTGTGCGTGTGTGCGTGAGAGAGAGAGGAGGTGAGAGTGAGAGTGAGAGTGAGAGCACACGCGGAGAGGGACGGATATATACACTGCCTACCAACCACCACCGGCCTTCCCGGCAAGTTCCGCTACACGAGCCATATCGCCCATCCCCCCTGGATCCTTACCCTTTTCCTTGCCCACGTCGCTCTCTACCTTTCGGAAAGTGGTATACACAAGTTTTTCGAGTGGGATATTGGTGCTGCGGGACCAGTGGGACAACAGATCGTCAAATGGACGGTGACCTCTGTCGCGCGCGATAGGGTGGGTGTTGGAGTTGGAATCCGAATCGGAATCGGCTGAGAAGTATGCTTCGTCGACTCGCGCTAGCCAAGCTCGCTGTTCCTGTGGCGTTGATTTTTGGGTAGATTGTGGCTGTGGCTGCTCATCCTGCTGTAGTGGATTGATCGTGTCTTGCTTCGGGGTATTAATGTCTCGTACGTCCTCGACGCGTATTTGCCCACCGCCATTCGTGCATCCACCGGGACACGCCATTACTTCGACATAAGCATAATCTGTGGCTGATGTGTTGTTGGCTGCAGTTGCTCGCCCACTGCCTGCCCTGCGACCTATCATAGGCTTGGCGCCAGGGAGCCTAGATGCGCGGGGGGGTTTTAGTTTCCGGACGAGGTTTTGGATATTACGGAAACCGTAGTAGCGAGCAGCTTTTATAATGGTATCGCCTGAGGGAGATGTTAGGGAATATTCAATCACGTCAGAATTTCGACCACGCTGCGTTTGGATTTGGCTTCCCGGGTTTCGATGTTGGTAAGCTGTGAGGATGTGGAAGAGGTATCCCCCCGACGTGCCAGCTGTGGACGGCTGGGTGGACGGGCCGGATTTAGGAAATAAGAAAGATGCAAGGTAGGGATCAGGGAATAGAGGGGTATATGACGAAGGTAATGGTTGCAATGGGAGGTTTTGGAGCGAGATATTCCGCGACGTCGCTAGCATGAGAACTTCGCGGGATG